AGACTCTTTCACCCATCAGCATTCTGCCTTGCTGGCCTTCAACCTCATTCTCCCCCAAAGCTTGGGGGTGGCGGGGGGAAAGACCCAGTTCTTCATAGCCTTCTGGAAGGTGAGGAGGATGGAGGACTGCTGGATCTCTGGGACAAGAGTGTTCCACACAAGGTAGAGGCAACTATGGAGCAGGCACACTTCTTGGGTGCCACCAGATGGCAGCATTTAAGGGACTTGGGGTTGCACCAACCCTATCTGACCTTGTGGGACAGGCAGATACCTTCAGGGAAAGATGCTCCTGCATATGCCTGACCCCATGCCATTCAGGTCATGCAGATACTTGCAACAATTTGGTATGACTTCCATTAACCTAGTAATTTTTTTTTTTTAAATGCTTATGGCTAACACAGCAACTGATGTTATTTATAGGCGAGTAAGAATAGAATCAATAGATTTATATTCACATTTGCACTCCTCATGGAGAATGCAGCCAATACAGGTCCTTCTGGAGTTAAAGTTATCAGAAAAGGGGACATTTGCCATACCTCACAGTAATCCTCCTTTCCCAACTTGATAATATTATTCATAAGTATTGGGATTATGGTTCCCAAAATTTGCCATTCGCATGGTAAATGGCTGGCTACAGGAGGAGGATGGGAGACTGTAGGAATGGAGGCCGAGGATCTGGGAGACTCTAGTCCTATAAATATTTAAAAAGGTATTTAATTGGGGAAGGCTGATGTAGACCAACTCAGAATTAACATAGGGAAGGGCTATAGCTCATCAGTAGCTTTGCCTGCAGAAGGTACCAAATCTAGTTCTAGAATCTCTGCAATGGAGTCAGAAGGCTCCAGCTTGGATTCTTGAAGACTTGCAGGTTGATAAAACTGTTGTCCATCCTGAAGCTGGCCTGAGCAAGGCCATTTTCTAGGCTTTAGTGTTGCCACACTGGAGCTGAGGGTTAGGGAGGGGGTAATAGAGATAGAGGGAGGCGGGTTGTAGCCAAAACAAAATACTTTCTCCTGGGAACCAAGGACATGCCCAAAGGGGGTCGAAGAGAGGTGGAGTGATGTTACCAGGCAACTGGACAGCACGATGATTGGGCCAAGTGACTGACTGTTGGAGGAAGGGGAAAAACTTTAACTTGGTAAAAACAGCGGGAATATTCAGAGTCGGTTTTCACCAGAGTGTGCCAATATGATATTTCCAATAAACCAGTTCTTTGAGGAACCTGCTTGCCTCAGAATCCTGGGAATATAACTTGGAACCAGAGCTGGTATTCAGCAGGTTCTGACCAGTTCTGGAGAACCGGTAGCAAAAATTTTGAGTAGTTCACAGAATCAGCAAATACCACCTCTGACTGGCCCCACCCCCATCTATTCTCTGCCTCCCAAGTCCCAGCTGATTGGCTGGGTCTTCTTTTGTTGCCCTGCACAGGAGAACGGAGCTGGAAAGCAGGTTAGTGGGGTGGGGAGGGAATGGGGATTTTGTAGTAACCTTCCCCCAGGAGTGGGGAGGGAATGGGGATTTTTACAGTATCCTTCCCCTGCCACGCCCACCAAGCCACACCACGCCCATCAAACCATGCCCACAGAACCGGTAGTACATTTTTTTTGAATCCCACCACTGCTTGTTTAGGCAGCTTGTTAGGTCTGACTCTGTAAGGCGGCTTCCTATAGCCCAGGGATATCCAACGCTCAAAATTCCTCAGCCAGACATGCTTTGGCTGTAACCGTGCTGGCTGAGGAATTCTGGGAGTTGAAGTCCACAAGTCTTAAAAGTTGCCAAGCTTAGAGATCCCTGCTATAATCCTAAAAGAGAGACTTGAATTTGATTTCCTGCCCCCCTCCCATTTTAATGTCCTCAGGATATTGCTTTTTTTTTTTTTTAAAGGCAAATGCCTGAACCTGGCTACCCTTTCTCTATTCCAGACATGGGTAGTCCTTGACTTAAAACAGTTATTTATTTAGCGGCCATTCAAAGTTTACAGCAGCACTGGAAAAAGTGACGACCTGTGCTTATGACTGTTTTACAGCTTCCTCGTGGTCACATAATGAAAATTCGGGCCCTTGGCAACCGGCATGCATTTATGACTGTGGCAAAGGCCTGGAGTCATATAATTGCCATTTGCAACCTTCTGACAATGGAAAGCCAATGGAAGAAGCTTAACAATGGCATATGATTCGCTTAACAGCTGTGGCCAAAAATTTTGTGAAATTGGGTGTGACTCACTGGAAAGGGAACTTCTGTTCCCAATTGTGGTCATAAGTCAAAGGGCTGTCAGTATCTTCATTGTGGGACAATTTACATGAGAAAAAAACTCCTTCCCAACCACTATCACCCAAGATAATGCATCTCCAGCCAGAAGTTCTGCACCTCTTCTGCACCTCAATGTGGGTTCTCTCAGGGGATGTGGGTTCCAGAGAGTGCAATTCCCCCTGCTGGAGCCATTTTGGCTGCTGAGCCCCATGGTTTCTCGAACTCAGCTTCAAGCAGCTCTGGGATTTCACGCTCAAGAAAGGCGCACAAAATTTGCCTGCCCTGCAGCCCAGTCGGTCCCATCCTACAGAACAATGTCCAAGAATGACATCTCAGCAGGTCTTTGCCCACAGCACACCCACCAAGCTGGCTCTGTTTTTTTGCACGCGCCCCCTTAATGTGACAGCCTTAAGCCATTCTTAGCCAAAGTGGTATCACAGTGGGATTAGTTTCCTTCTTACAACACCATCTCAGTCTTAAGGTGTGGAAAATCTGTTAGGCTTAGTCCCCTTAAGAGGGAAGTCGGGTGACTGCAGTGAGGTGGAACCAAGGGTAAAGGAACAGGGAAGGGACTGGCACCCCATTTGCAAGGGCGCTATTTTCTAATGGCTCAGAAATAGGACGGGGAGCAGATTCCTACAATGGGCTCTGACAACAAGGACTTAGGAATATATCTCCATATTTGTGTGGGTGGGTGGGTGGAAGGAAGGAGGATGGTTGGAGGCAAATGATGCTTTCTAACAGATGGTGGTAGGCTGGCTAATGGGGCAGAAACCACTCTTGTCCTGCTCGGGAATATTCTAGCTGCTAGCAGGTTGCTCAGCGTAACTCTGATTTGCCACCGAAGGAGGATAGGCCTGTTTGGATGAAGCCTGAGACCAGGCACAGGTCCACGGATAGCAGGGTAGGAAGGAGTGTCAAAAGGAAAGAGATAAGAAGCCCGGGTGCAACCAGAAGTGAGGAAACCGCTAATCTGACCCAGCACATATTTGCCCATTGGGGAGGCCCTCTGGCCCGTTCCATGAAGAGGGGTGTGTGTGTGGTCAATATGCTGACGCTGTAATAAACCGCTGAGAGAAGGCGGTGAAGCACCGTGAAGCGGTATAGTAGTCTAAGTGCTCTTGCTCTTGCTAGCCAAGAGATTCCCTCGGAGATACTGAAACTGAGTTTGCCAACCAGCTGGCAACCAAGATCAGATTGAGGAAGACGACTTTGGAACTTTGCAATCAAACTCCTCCTCCCACCCCTACAGCCCTTGCACAGAGGCGCGCGTGGGTACAACTTTCTCTTTCTGCGCGCGAGCCCAAGAAACCAACTAGTCGCGGGGCTACGCCCCCACGTGCGCTTCCCTGCCCCACCTTCCTCCCCCAGCCGCTCCCCCAGACATCGCAGCGACAAGTGGGGTTCCCCCCCGCCCCGCCCTCCGACGCGGGTCTTGCTCTCCGCGCAAGGTGCCCGATCCGCGCTTTCCCCGTCCGGGACCCCGCACCTGTTCCAACGGGCTATTTTCCGCCGGTAGTAGCGCAGCGTCTCCTGCCCGTTGAGCAGCTTCTCTGCCGGCCTCTCGGGAGCGCTGTAGAGCGGGTGCGCGAAGAGCCGCCTCAGCTTGGAAGGGTCGGCCTGGCTGCTCCGGTTGGCGGACGCGCTGGCGGGCGGCCGAGTCCGGAGCTTTGGACCAGCGGCCGCAGCTGCTTCGGCGGGGCAAGAGCAGCGTGGTTCAGCCGTGTTGGCCGGACCGAGGCGGCGCCGCATTTGGGGCCAGAGGTGGAAGTAGAAATCGGCGCTGAGCAGCGCCCCGAAAAGCAGTAGGATGAGCAGCCGGTCGCGGCGGGTCCCCAGCATGGTCAGCCCGGGCGCTGGGCGAGAGGCAGGCCGGGTGAAGGCAGCGCACGGACGATCCCGGGCAGAGCGAGGGCGCTGGGTGGGAAGGAGGCGAGCCTCGCACCGTTGGCTGGGAGCCCGGGCGAGTCCGGACGGGGCCTCTGCCCCGCTGGCGCCGCAGGAGCAGGTGAGAGGCCGAGGGAGGGAGGGAGGCAGGCAGGCAGCACCCCGCTTCTGGAGAAGGGGCGACCGGCTACACCTTTGCCCGATCGCCTCTCCCGAGCTGCCCTCCCCAGGCAGGCAGACCGTGCCGCCTCTGGAAGGATCTGCTCGGGGTGGGGAAGAGTGAGAGAGAGGGAGGGAGGGAGGAAGGGAGGGGAGCCGGCACGACCAGCCTCACCTACTACCCTCCTCCTCCTCCTCCTCCTCCCACCTCGGCTCAGCAAAACCGCGGCGGCGGCAGCTCAGTCGCGCCTTCAGATCGGGGCCTTTTTGCTCCCCGGCTGTTCTCTTTCCCTACCTCGCCGGTCTTGCTGAAACGTCCCGGGCGAGGCGGAGGCGGCTGGGTGGGCAGCGAGAGCCGAAAGCGCCCGGGCGGCCGTCGAAGGCAGGGAGCAGACAGCCCGAAAGAGAGCGCGAGCGCCAAGTTTAAGAACTCCGGGCCGGTCATTGCACTGGGCGAAGGCGACTCTCCTCCGGGGCTGTTGCTTAAGAAAGCCCCGTTAGAGAGGGAGCGGGAACCGAGAGCTTTGGGCCCTCCCTTTGCTCTCGGGAAGGCCAGATTTTAAGGCGTGGGAAAAGACGAGCTCCGGCTCTCGTGAAGAGACCTCTTCCAAATGCGTGTCAACTTACAAAGTCTGGCTTTGGAACTCATTGGCTTTGTTTGCATCGCGTGGTTAAACCAGGTTAAATCAAGACCTAAAAGCCGTTTTTCTTCCCAACCCGGCTTGGATAGTGGTTGAAATGTATCGTGTCCATTGGATCAGCTCATGTTTCAGCGTATTGGGCAGATCCAGATACCATGCTAAGCAGCGCAGATGAGAGAAGCCCATCAGTTCGGGCGACTCTGTGCTAGGACAGGTGGCTTGAAGGGCATATTTGGGGTGGCTGCACGGCTGATAGCTATTCCAATGGCAGAAGGAGGGAAACCAAACCAAATTATTTCCTTTCGCCCTTACACGTGTCTCCCTCCCTCCCCTTACGCTGCAACGATTCTTTGGCATTCAGGATTAGGGACGTGTTGCCAAATGCTGTTGCTTTGGAAGATTGGGAAGAGATTGGAAATTGGTGCTAAAGCCCTCCCCCCCTCTTTTTTTTAAACGAGGACAATCCTGGATCATCCTTGGCATCTCCAATTACTGTATATATTCTTTTAAAATGCTGGGCTGTAGTTTTCTGGAAAGGTTGCCTTTTTGGGAAGCCTGGCCAGCTGAGCAGAATTGTCTTTCCTTAACAGCAGCTTTTCAGTTGTACCTCCCATTACATCTGGTCAGTTTAAGGATGAGGATGATGGAAAATACAGTTGTTGAACAAATAATTCGGCCTGCCATTAGATCAGTTTTCACATTCTTCCTTCCACTTCTGGTTTCTTCTCACTTCTTCCTCTTCTGCTCTTCCTCATCTTTCTTTGAAAGACCACCATTGTACTGCTGCCCCTTTTTTATTCCAATCTTCTCAAATAAGATAAGCCAATTGGATCTCTGTGGCGAGAGTGTGTGCGCACACTCACTAAATATGGAGTGTAACACACACACACACATATTCGTTCAATCAACAAACTTCTAGCCTACTACAATTGCAGTGATTTTTGGTGATTTACAATATATCTAAAACAGAGGCCTCCAAACTTGGCAACTTTAAGACTTGTGGATTTCAACTCCCAGAATTCTCCAGCCAGCTATGCTAACACCCTAACACAACAACCATTCAAAAAAAAAAAAAAAAAAGGATATAAGGATAAAGGAAGAAAAACAAAATCTATACGTATGATAAAATTATTGGAGGCATTTCAAGATCTAAAGATAGGAAAACAACTGAGGGTTTGTATTTATGCTACAAGCAGAAATATGTTTGATGGTGTTAAATCATCAAACTTTTATGAGACAGTGGAAGTCAATCCATTTTTGTTGTTGTAACCTCCACCCCAGTGTGAAGAAAGGAGTTAAAGATGTCTTGAAAAGAGGCCGTTTCGAAAGATTCCTTGGCTAGATAAAATAACTTTGATCTATGGGCCTGTCCTGCCAAGATGTATGTTCTTCTTTGCTGATTTGAAAGATTGCACGTAAAATTTTTAGACTGGATGCCTTGACAATCGTTTTCTGGGCAAGGAATCACCAGAGAATTATGGGCCTTTTTACGACGAAGCATTATATCAGGGCTGGGGTTAAGAATTATTTCCATCACAAGTGTTACCATTCTTAGCAGCTGCATTTGTCAACTGTGGTCTTAAAAAGAATTTGCCCATAGGCACAATTTCAATTAAGTTCTTTAAAAACTCACTTAAGACATAACACGGACTATGCTATCTGTGGATCAAATAAAATCTTAAATCTGTTGCTTGTCTTTGGTTCTGTTTTTTAAGAAAAGGAAGCCAGACTCTTTTTATATTCACAGTAAATTCTTCATTTTCCCCCCTTTTGCAGGTGGTTTCTCTATTCCTCAATGAGCTTCATACAAACAGTGCTTTTGTCAGTTGTCATAAATGAATATCAAGGATTTCTTTAAAAAAATGATGAGTTGGCTATTGTAAATTATACTATTATGTTGGAGGAAACCATTTATCCATTTTGGCCAGGGGTCCCCAAACTTGGCAACTTTAAGATTTGTGGACTTCAACTCCCAGAATTAGCTGGCTGGAGAATTCTGGGAGTTGAAGTCCACAAGTCTTAAAGTTGCCAAGTTTGGAGACCTCTGATTTTGGCCTTCCAGAAGGGTATCAAAATCTGGTTTTGCCACTTGCCTTGGGGACCCAAGGGGGGCACTCACCACTGAAGGTGGTTGATAGGGTTAGAAGGTCTCGTCCCCATGCCATCTAACTCCTTGATTCTAGTTTTATATATAGGTTTTTAAAATTTTAGTTGTTTTTATATTTATCTTTTTATGTTTGTAAGCCACTCAGAGTGGCCTTGCAGGTAAAAGGGGCAGCATATAATATAAATAAATAATAAGAAGAATTTCTTTCCCCTAAGGTTTTCTTTCTGTATTAATGATCCTTTAATTCTCAACCTATCTGGAAGACAACACCTTAGAGAAACGTACTTTAAGCAAATCAGTTGAGGAATGCAATATCACTCCAAAATCACAAACTGAGCTTTAAAAAGAGCACATTGCATTTTTACAATATTATAATGGGATTATACGGTGATGCGCTGTTTTATGAACGGGTAACTCAGACTTTGTGGTAGCTTAACTGCTTTTGCTAGTGGTTAATTTCCATAACAATATGAGTTGCATTCATCCATTAATTTTTTAAAAAATCATATTTTTATTTGATGGAGTGCTATTTAAATAAGGATATAAGGATGCAGGGGTATAGCATTTTTAACGAGACTGCCTGCCCTCTGAATATTTTCAGAGTTCAGCTTTTGATCATGAAGGGGACAGCGGCACCAGAGCAACAACGGCATAGGGGCAGGTTGTGAACTCCAGGCTTGTTTTGATTACTGTACTTGCAGCAGGGTGAGCAATCAGTTCTCCACCAGGCATGGACAGATGGCTACTCCCATTATTGCCCAGACTCTCTAGAGATGGTGGATGTAGGCTCCAACTACATCTATAGGAAGTGGTGGGATTCAAATTTTTTTGCTATCAGTTCTGTAGTTGTAGCGTGGCTTGGTGGGCATGGCAGGGGAAGGGTTACTGTAAAATCCCCATTCCCACCCCAATCCTGGGGGAAGGTTACTGCAAAATCCCAGTCCCTCCCCACCCCACTAACCTGCTTTCCAGCTCCATTCTCCTGTGCAGGGCAACAAAAGAAGACCCAGCAGATCAGCTGGGATTCAGGAGGCAGAGAATAGATGGGGGCGGGGCCAGTCAGAGGTGGTATTTGCCGGTTCTCCAAACTACTCAAAATTTCTGCTACTGGTTCTCCAGAACTGGTCAGAACCTCTGTCTATTGGGCCGTGTATTGTATGATCCTGATCTACAGATCTGTACGGTATATTAACCCAGAACGAGTCTGTTTGCATTCATTTGCAATATATAAAGCAAGAAAATATGTCTGAGGGTGGGACTGGCTCTCCAAGGGCTCATGACTTCTAGCCAGTATCTTCTTTAGCTTTTATTTAGTTTTTTTTTTTCTTTTTCTTACTACGCTATCTAAATTTGTCTCCAGCTTTGTTTCTATAACAACTCTCTAGTTTTGTTTTCTATCTTCTGAAGAACCTATGTGTTCAGTTTCAGGATGGAGGCAGGTACAAGTACAACTGGATGTTATTCTTAAAAAAGATATGATCATGACTGCTTGGGTCTTAAGCTTTCAGGCAATCCTGAAGGCAACCCAAACATCAGAGTACAAGCCTTAATGAGCCTGTCTGCATTTCCTCTTAGATGCCATTTTTAGGACTCTAATCCTGCAGAATTGATACCTTTGGTACTTGGTTCTGTCTCTTTTCCGCTCTCAGATCTGAAGATTTCAAAAATGTGTATATATTTTTAAACCTTTCAAATTGAAGAAGCACATACTTTAACATAGTTCTTTTGGCTAACATGGTTTCTTCGCTTTTCCAAAATTAAACATCCTTACTTTAGGTCTAAGCTCTACGGAAAATATTGATGCTTACTTATAAATAAATATCTCAGTTGGACCAGGCTGCCCATTTAGAATAATCTGTTTAAGGTTTTGGTACTAATTACAGAGCTTTCCAAAAGAATTTTGATAATGAATGATCCATTTTAAACAGAAGAAGTTGCACAAACTGTTTAATAAAGTCAGTGTTTAAAGTCCCTGTGTCCGGTAAACTATTTGGTTTGACCTACTTAGGCCAACATCAGGTTACATATTAACATTTCTTTCAGGTACCAAAAATATTTTAATACTTCTCCTCAAAGTAGTTATAAAAATTACTTGAATTATTTTAGTAGAATATAGTTAATTAAAGTACATTTTTTGTTACTAGCTATTGGTAATCCCGAAATTGCCTTTTCAAGAGGCAACTGGACTTTCTGTTTTTTTTTTTTATTTTGAAGATGTTTCGCTTCTCATCCAAGAAGATATTCATAGACATTTAGCTGTTGGTAAATTACTCTAAGATGTTAGTATTAACTAACATAATTAAGCAAGGGGGAAGTTTAATTCAACAGCAATATAAGAGGAAGTTTTAAAAT